AAACCTTGTAAGGCTTAGGGCATTCCTCTCCTGTCCCAATCCTCTCTTATACTTGCTGGCTGCCCAGATCTCTCTCTCTCTCTCTCTCTCTTTCTCTCTCTTTCCTATCTGCAAGACTCTCTTGCTATCTCCTGTTTCTTGAAAAAGTATTAACTGGTGGCTTATTTACTTTTAGTTTATGTGTATGGGTGTTTTTGTCTGCCTATGTGTCTGTACACCATGTACTGCGTGCAGTACCCCAGCGGCCAGAGGAGGGTGTTAGTCACCATGTGGATGCTGGGCACTAAATCAGGGTCCTCTGTAAGAGCAGCAAATGCTCTTAACCTCTAAGCTATATCTCCAGCCCAATCACCTCTTTCAATCAACTTCTCCTTTGAGGTTTTCTATTCTGTGTGGTATCTAATCTCTGCTCCAGTCTCCAAGGATGCTAATGAATTCACTTACTTCTGATTCTTGTGAGTCACATCCCATGCTTCTTCCAGCCTGAGATGCCCACGATTGCAAGAGTCTACCTGCCTTATAGACGAGTGAGTAAAAGGTCTTAGGATCTCAAGAACGCCATGTGTTTGTCAGGGCTTGATTTTTAAAGGCATTTTCAGCATGACACCATGCGCATCTCAGAATCATGAATTGTATTTGAATTTTGAAGGAAGCCTTCTCCAGGCAATGGCTTGGTGTCTTCTATGATGGGATGCTGGCTATCTTGGTGTGGAGAAAGGTGTTAGACCCCGCCTTCCAGTGGATACCCATACCCGATTTAGGCGTGCGCCTTCCCGAACTCGGGCCCATGAGAATGGACGACTGTCCTGAGGGTTTAAAACAGACATATACAAAAAAGAGACCTTTGTTCATTTACCAAGAGTAAATGGCAACTTTATTAAACTCAAGTCGGGTATTTATACCAGTGGGCAACCGGGATCAAAAGGGCAAGGCCTCCTCCCAACAGAAGCAGGAGAAGAAGATTAAAGGCCCTGGCGCCTCAGGGAGAATCAGCTGGGGGAGGCCAGGCTATGGGCCCGCTGCTAGAACCTTGAATACAGGTGGAATCACCATAACAAAGAGAGCCAGGTTCTTCCTAAGCTAACCCCTCAAGCCAGTGCTAGTGCAGAATCTCCAGGGAGCCAGAGGTCACACGGCCCTGCGAATCGCCAGGAGAAGGGAAAAAGACCTTGGTAGCTACAGAAAGGCTTGATGTCACATGGGGCCTTGGCTCTTAGTTGTCTGTGTGTGAGCTTCCCGTTACTGCTCTAACAAATGATCACAAATTTAACAACTTAAAACAGCACAAACACATCAATGTACAGCCTTGTAGGCTGGAGGTCTGCCGTGTGTCCCACTGGGCTAAAGTGGAGTGCCAGCAGGCTCACTTTTCTTTATGGAGAAGGACTGGATCCCCTGTCTTCTCCGGTGCAGGAAGGCCATCTGTTCTTTCTGCACATTATTTCTCTCTCCACTTTCAAGGCAGGGTGTTGTGTCTCCCGGACCCTCTGTGGTCACGCCTCCCTCTGACTCTCTTCTGCCACTCCCTTCCTCTCTATGGATCCTCATAATGACCTCAGGACAACGATAGCAAGTAGAGCCTTCCTATTCGGGGATCTTGTGATCATCAACTTTAATACCTTAACCCCAGTAACTGTGCACTCCTCATTGTCACTGGCTCTGTCAGTCAAGCACAGACATCATCGGATGTCATCACGCTGTCTGCCAACCCTAGACGAGAAGTCACAGCACAGCAGGGGGCTTGAGAAAATCAGGGGTGCAAGGAGACACAAAAGAAGCAGCAGTCAAAAACTAGCTTTTGAGTTGTGACCTTCTCCTATTGTTTATTAGACAAGGGGGTCAGGGAGCAGCAGCAAGTGAGCATTTGGTGTGGGGTTGATATCATGGGCTGGGTTTCCAGAAGCATGTAAAAGAGAAGGCACTGCCTCTGCAAAACAGTCCTCAGGACATCCCCTTGGGCTCAATACAACAGAAGGAAAGGAAAATGAGAGAGAGAGAGAGAGAGAGAGAGAGAGAGAGAGAGAGAGAGAGAGATGCAAAGCTATTGCAGTCAAGGCTCCATTTGGAGCTTCGAAAGTGGGCCAAGACCTCTGTACCCTGGTACTCTGTTAGATGTGGATTGTCCTTGAAGGGATGTGTGATCTTGCTGGCTGGGTGGGGGCTCTCTCTTCAGCAGAAGCACTTCTTGGAGAGGGCTGTCTGCCAGCATGCTCCTGGACAGTGTAGGGAATAAGTCTAACAGTCCTAAAGAAGCATGGGGGTGAGTCCCCACTGTGGAAAAGTTTTGGTATAAGGTAAGTTGTCATTGAACTAAAGGGTATTCTCAAACTTTCACAGGGAGGGTCCTCGAGCAGGGCACATGATTAGGAGGAGAAAAAAAAATACCCATCAAGGCAGGGAGGAGATTCAGAAGGTATAGTAAAAGGAGCGGGCTGTGTCCTGCTGCCCGGGTAGCTTAGCCCCCCCCACCCTGAAATAATTACACAGAAACTGTAGGTGGACGGAGTAGACAGAACAGAATGCTGAGAAGAAGGGCAGTGTGGCAGACGCTATGATTCTCCTGCCCAAGATGGACGCTGGTTAAACTTGTGACGGTAAGCCACAGTCAAGTGGCATTTTACATTAATAGAAATGGGGTAATCAAGATGTGAGAGTTAGCCAGTAAGAGGCTAGAGCTAATAGGCCAGGCAGTGATTTAATTAATACAATTTTCATGTAATATTTCGGGTGTAAGCTAGCCGGGCGGGACCGAATAAGGGGCCCGCGCTCCTTACTACAAGAAGACATGCCTTCTTATCTCCCCCCTGCCCCCAGTCCCTGCAGAACTCAGGTTTCCTGACCTAAGCATCCGAAAGGTGTTCCAGTAAATGGTGTCGACTATATCTAACCCCAGGATGGAAACCAACCTTCAAACTCAGGGGACTTCTCCCTACCCAACCCAAAGAGGAGTCTACAAGTGAGTCCTTGCTAGGGGAGCAACATTGATGGGGCAGTCCCAGCCAATACTGAGAAACCAGGCAGATGTCCATGTGGCCTCCCTCCATAGAGAGATTCCAAATCCTTTGGAGTCAGGATGAAGTTTCAGGGTTGTTGAAAGGATTGGTGTGCAGATGAACTAACCAGTCGCTGGTGTTAAAACACATCGTTTTCTCTACCTTTTCTGCTCCTGGTGACGAGGCATCCGCAGCCTGCTTGTGGGTCTTGTTATTTGTAAAGTGGAATCAACAGTGGTGTTTGTTGCAAACATTAAGAGAAAGTAGGCATACAGAACTGAGTATTTACCCAGACTTGAGTAATGGCATCACTTCCTTCTTCCCTAAGATGGTACATAGGGCGCACCATAGTTGACAAAGAATTTTTTTTTCAGCTTCTTATAAATGTAAGGAAAAGGAAAACAGACACTGTGTAAGCGGGGAACAGAAAGGAGCCAGTCAAGCAAGGCAGCCAGCAAACACAGCAGGGGCTGTACCAGGGCCTCTTGGGTGCACCTGCTCTCGGCCCTGTCTGCCAGTTGCACTTGCACACTCCTAACTTGTTAGACCAGGAAACTACACACTCAAGTGTAGACATTGTTCGGATAATGCAAGGGAGCCTAGCATGTGCCAACGCTGGTGTCTCTGCAAACCAGCCGTACTGACCGAAGAAACCCTGTAGCTTCTAGGGAGGGGGTGGGAGGTAAAGGGTGGGGATGGGGATGGGAGAAAGAGAGAGAGAGAGAGAGAGAGAGAGAGAGAGAGAGGTTCTGCACTTCAGAGGAAGAGTGTTTGCCTTGGATTTAAAGCTCACTGTAGTACCCGCCAGCCACATTTAGAATGCCCTTGCTATTTGTAGCCATGGTGCCAAATGCCCTGTAATCTCACTTAATCCTCAGGGCAGCTCTCACAATGCTCTGCCCACTTTACATATTGGGAAGAAAGACTCCCAAGTGAAGAGAAGGTTGCGGTAGGTCCTAGGGAGAAAGCGGCAGGGCGCGACTGTGAGTCTGCTTCCATCCGGACCAGACCGTGCTCCCAGCAGCTGTGCTCCCAGCAGCTGTGTTGTTTCTTCCTTCAGTAAAGCACTTCCAGAATCTTCATTTCCAGGGTCTCTATGAAACTTTTGGTGAACACATTTTCTAGATCTAGCCACTTTTCCCCAGTCAAGTTTTTTCCTAACCTTTTGATTTTTTCCTTTTTTTTTTTTTTTTTAAAGAACAGAAGGGATCTCTGTTCTTTTTAAAGTTTATTAATTTATTTAATGGGGGCGGGGGAAGGCTGTGTACTCATACTTGTGCCGTTGGTGGAATTCAGAGGCTAACTTTCCGAGGTCAGTTGTTTTCTTCGACCAAGGGGCAAAGTCTCTCTCCCTGTTTCGGTCACGCTATGGGTATTCCAGGCTAGCCGGTCTTTGGACTCCCGCCTCGGCATTCCGTCTGACTATAGAATCGCTAGGATCACAGCTGCGCACCACCACACCTGACTTTTGTCCACGGGTTTGAACTCAGGTCATCTGGCTTTCCCTGCAAGCGCTTTTACCCGCCGAGCCGTCTTGCTAGCCCTCCCTAACCTTTGAATCATTTTATGTACATAATAGATACTGTTGTGTGTGCAGAACCGTGTTTGACTGGCGTTGGTGCGTGAATTCAAGGATAAGTCACACACTACTCAAACCCTCAAAACCAGAGCTAGGATCCCAAGAGGGCGTGGCTTGGCAGTGCTATTGTGGTGCCCACTCCAATGTATGCCCTACCTCACAGCTTACTCACTCAGCCTAAAGAATGCACTGATTGTTGGCTGTGGTTCCCCTTCTATGGCTCCAGATGTTGTATTTAATTTTAAAAGGTGAAACACTGAAGCGGAAATGTGGTCACAAGTCAGGAGATTGTGTGCGCTTGCGCATGCGCATACCCATGTGCATCCATGTATTTATATGTGCAAAAAGCCGTCTATCAGCGCCAGCTAAAAATGCGCAGCAGTCCATCTGTGCTGGAAATTGAGGGCACCATATGCTTGCATTTCTAGGTCTTCCTAAGAATTACGTAAGTACCCCCCAAAGCCAAGAGGGCAGGATCGGAGCCAGCCGTGGGACACGCTTCCTATGAAGAACGCTGAGGAAGGGCTGACCTTGAGGAGAGCTAGCTTGCCAGTCCGTGGAAAGTTCCCAGCCTTGGGGCTTAAACAAAAACGGTATTCAGAGGTTTGAGTGCTCGGTTGAAAGCAGTCTGTCTCCTTGCTTTGTCTTGGGGACTTATCAAGGTGAACCCTGGCCCTGAGACAACTGGATATTAAATTTAAAACTGGGCACTACCGCCAGGCAGGGTCCAATAATCCTCTCAACCATCTCTAATTAGCAGGCTCTGGGGGCCCCCAGGGTCACACATCTTAGGCAGAGGTGAGATAAGCAAGAGGTCTAGTCTCCTCACTCCCGGAATAGTTCGGCAGAAAGGCATCCTGGGAGGACCGCTGTGGGAGGTAACACAGCCAGGCCCCAGAAGCTTATCAAGGGCTCCCTCTGTGCTCGTCCTCCAGAGAGGGGAGTATCTGATTGGCTCGGACCCACTGTGGGCCTCTGCAGAATTCTTGCCTAGAGAATTCTCTAGCCTACTTGACTAAAACCCCCATACAGAGATCTGAGACTTAAAGTTTCATTTTCAAACAATGCATCAGGAATCCCTAGGACCGTCTGTAATTGAATTGGTTCAGTGGGTGAGATCCATCACTTAAAAAACACAGAGAGAAAAGGGATGTAGCTGGGTGCACTCAAGACAATAAAGGTAAGCGTAGTCATGGGAATGTTACATTATGATCTAAAAAGTAATTTTTTGTTTGCTCTTTCAGTACTGGGGATTGAACCCAGGGCCTTGGGTATGCTATGCCAAACACTCTACTATGCTGGAATGAAGCATGCGGACGTGTTTGTAGTTGAAGTGACACGAAGTCGAAAGAAGTGGTGATAGAAAGACGTAAACAGATGAGACAAGATCGACAGGATGCCAGCAGTCACTCCGTGCCGACGGTGACTCCGACACATCTGTTCTATTATAGTCTGTGTTTTTGTCAGGGCTTTTCTAATGGAAAAATTTAAAAGCACACACAAACACAGAACAATATTCATGTTGCAAAAATACATTGAAATTAAAGATTAACATTAAGAGAGCTAGAGAGATGGCCTAGTGGTTCCGAGTGTTTGCTTCTCCTACAGAGGCTCCAGCTGGGCTCCCAGAACGCACATGGCAGGTCCCAACCATCTGTGACTCCAGCTCAAGAGGATCCAGTGTTCTCTTCTGGCCTCAGAGAGCACTGTGCACATGTGGTGCATAGACACACAACCAAGCAAAACACCTCTACACATAAAGTAAAAATAAATAAATCTTAAAAAAAAAAGAACAACAAACCACCTGTACCTATAGTTCCAGGAGATCTGTTGCCCTCTTCTGGCATCCATGGGTACCTGTACACATGTGGTTCACATACCCTCATCTAGACACACACACACACACACACACACACACACACACACACACACACGGCCATTGTTTTAGAAAGTTAGATATCAAATTAGAATAGTTACTTGTCAGGATAGGGAGTGTAGCACAGTAGTAGAGCGCTTGCCAAGCATGTGTGAGGTCCTGGATTTGAGCCCTCATGGTCCTTAGCCCCTCTCCCCTCTCCCTGTGGGGGATGAAGAAGATTAACTATAAGTTATCAGAATGGGAGTTTGACTGTGTCTTAGGGTTCCTAATCCTGTGAAGAGACATCATGACCACGGCAACTCTTATAAAGGAAAACATCTAATTGGAGCCAGCTTACAGTTTCAGAGATTTAATCCATCATCATCATGGTACGACATGGTGGCACAAAGACAGACAGACATGGTGCTGGTTACATCCTGATCAGAGAGCAACAGGAAGTATACGGACTCACTGGGCATGGCTTGAGCAAATATGAGACCTCAAAGCCCTCCTTCATAGTGACACACTTCCTCCAACAAGGCCACACCTCCTAATAGTGCCCCTCCCTTTGGGGGTCATTTTCTTTCAAACCACCACAGCTTGGTAGAAAAGAAATAGGAGAAAGATTTGACTTGTCTACATTCCTCCAAGCACCACCCCTGCCATCACTTCAGCAGGGGAACACAGGGCAGGGCAGGACTAAGTGACAAGGTACATGTGGCAGGCAACCAGGGGCTTCCCAGCACCCACCTTTTGTCCCAAGAAGCTTCCTTCCAGTCCCAGGCCACGGTTCAGCTCTTCCTCTGGAAGCAGCCTTTCATGGATTCACCACGCATCAGCTTGAGACATGACTGTGGCCCTGTCTTCTCTACCACACCGAGAAGCAGCGGCTGTGCCTGTGTGTCCCCAGCCTATGACACTAGGGTACTCTGTAAGAAGATCTATTTACTGAGAAACAGTCTGTGATGGTGGATTGTCACCTGTATTGTCCCCATAGTGCTCTAGAGGGGGGAATGGGCTTTCTCCACTTGGTCAACAAAGGAATGGAGGCCCAGGGAGGCTAAATATCTTAAAGTCACACTTCTAAATGGAAACAGAGCTAGGATCGAGTCTGTCCACTGAGCCAGTATTCTCAGTCACTGCACCATGTCATCTCGGGGGAAGGATGAAGGAGAAACACTGGACAGCCCCAAGCCAAGGGCTGAGCTGGATGATAGAGGTTCTGAGTGTTGTGTGGCTGAGAAGGGAGGGGGTGATCAGAGATACTGAGAACGGAAGAGATGCATGAGACACTAATAGCCACAGATGGCCTCTAAATGATGGTGGCCAAAGCCAAACATTCACCCTGAATTGTTCAGGGATGGCCAAGGCTTAATTCTCTCTCAGGAGAATGACAAGGGTCTTGTCCCTTCAATCTCCCCACCCATTCCTTTTCCATTTGGAAAGGATCTCACGTATTGCAGGTTGGCCTCAGGCCTTCAAGGATGGCGTGCACTCCTGATCCTCCTACCTCTGTCTCTCGCAGATATTCACCACCCCCCCCCTCCACCTTCATCTTCTGAACTAGTCTCAACCACTGGTTCTCAGTAAAGGGTGGTTTTGTTCTCTAAGCACACATCCGGTAATGTGGAAGATGACTCTCATGGTCACAGCGTGGATAAGAAGGTCATGTGCTGATCATTCTTAACTTGACTGTCTTAAGATGGGGATAGGAGATTGGTAAAACACACCTCTGGATGTCTGTGGGGATGTTACCAGTGCATTGGGGGAACTGCTCTGAATGAGGTCAGCACCACCCCCTAGTCTGAGGACCCAGGTGGAGTTAAAGGGGAAGGAGGAAGAGGCCCGTAGCACTGGGATGTTGCTCTCTCTGGGACTTGCTGGCCATGAGGGACACAGTTTTGTTCTCTATGCCCTCCCAACACAAAGTTCTGCCTTGCCGCAGCCCAGAAGCCGGGAGCCAGCTTCCTGGGGACTGGAACCTCCGAGACAAGAGATAACTTAAGTCACCACGACTAATGATATCCAGCAGGTAGAGACCAGGGCGCTGCTACACACGGCATGGGATACAACAGGAAAATCCTTGACAAAGACTTTTCCCACCCACCAGTTAGCAAGGCCAAGACTGAGAAACCCTCTTTAAACCATTCTTTCTTGTTTGTTTGCTTGTTTCGTTGGTTGATTAGTTTTATAGGGTTTTGTTGTTGGTGGTGTTTTAAATTCAGAAGATACATCTATTGAAAACAGAACTTTAAATGTATTATGACAAAGGCACGGTGAGCATTTATTGCTTACTAAGCTTTATTTAACAAGTATGTTATGATCAATGTGACTAATTCTTAAATGAAAGATATCACAACTAGGTACAATTGGGTTTAAGAAATGGCAATTATGTGAAATATAGTATGCATGGTTAACATACACAATAATGAAATGAAACAAATGATTGACATTTCCGTTTCCTACACACTTACTTTCTTAAGACAATATCTTAATGAAATCGCTGTCACGGAATAAAAAGACACTGCCTTCCAAAACACTTGATGAATAATTAACAAAAGTCCCGATTTAAACAAGACAAGTGGATCTTTTCCCTCTTTGGGGAGAAATATTTAACTAGAACTCAAGTAATGAACTATGCTATATGGAGTTTTAGATCGCTACGTGTTAGAATTCTGGGTGGTACATCACCACACAGTCATACCCATTTGGGTAAGTCATACCCATTTGGCTTGTTTATGGCTGGCTTGCTGTTTTCTCCCCCGTTATTTCTCACCCTCTCCACTTACAATGTAGCCACATGTAGCCTATGCAAGGTGGTGAAATGCCAAGCCCAGCTGACATGGGAATAGGAACAGGAAAATTTCACAAGATCCCACCCCTCCACAATGAGCCATGGGCTACCAATGGCTGCTGAGAGAGAGAGAAACAGTCTTCTCTAGCGATGAGCTCCATCGTTAGAGGTCAGCCCTAAAGACGTGAATAAGTGGATTCAGCATGTTGTCTATGAACACAAACACCCAGGTTCATATGCATATATATGTAAAATGGTAATTATAGAAGAAGAGATCATAAATTTGATAGGGAGTAGGGCAGGGGATGCAACATGGCTGTCCTGAAACGCATTATGTAGGCCAGGCTGGAAGCAAATGCATAAAGATTTGCCTTTGTCTGTTTTCCAAGTGCTGGGATTAAAGGCACGTGCTACCATGCCAAAAAGACTAATTTTTAATAAGACATTATTTATGTGTGTGTGTGTGTGTGTGCGCGCGCGCGCGCACACACACACACACATATTAGGGATGCTAGGTGCCTCGCAGGTCAGAAGAAGACATCACCTCTGGAACTGAAGTTACAGATCATTGTGAACTATCGTATGGATGCTGGGAACTGAACCTGGGTCCTCTGCATGAGCAACTAGTGCTGGTCATGGCTGTGTCGTCTCTACAGCTTCCCTTAAGCCCATCTTCACCGGAAAGATGCTTCTGAAATTTCACCCACTCTGCCTCCTCGAGGGCCTTAGCTCCCACAGGCTCGGAATACCAGGACTTGGCACACACAGGATATCGTCAAGTGGTGCCTGAGTGCTGGGCTGGGGAGTCTCATGGCATGGCATTTATTTGAGAGCTCGTTGTAGCCGAGCGGCGGCGCTCTGCGTTGCCCTGCGTTGCCGGTGTTGCCACTCTCCGCTGCTTAGTCCACCGGTGTGCCGGCCGGCATTTCACAGCTGCTCTTGTGGAAAGCCCATTTTGCCCAGTCTGTGGTATTTGATAATTTCCATGGCGTAACTATTCCAACCTTTGCCAATTTCACGTTACCAAGGTGAAGTTTGCTGGCTTGCAAAATTCATAAAGCTAAGTAAAAGAAATGAGCAGCTGCTGGTGCAAGCTAGCTCCCCGCCCCTCGCCCCCACGCCACTGCTCAGTCCTCGGTGCCTAACCTTCTACAGTCTCTCTTTAGCCACACAAAGGCTTAGCTACTGAGCCAATGGCTTGGTGCAATCAAAGTTGATTCTTTGCCCACACAATAGCGGACTCAGGTACTGATACCGGCTCCCAATGCTCCTGTCCAGTAGCCGCTCAGGACTCAGCCCCCTTCTGTTTTGGGGTTTCCTCCCTCCCTCCCTCCCTCTGTCCCTCCCTTCCAAGACAAGATCTCAGGATGTAGCACAGGATGCATCTTGAACTCCCTACATAGCCCACAATAGCCTTGACAGTGCAATCCTTCTGCCCCAGCTGCCTGAGTTTTGGGATTGCATGCGTTCACCATCATGCATGGCTAAACATGTATGTTTCCAGCAGGTTCCCGGGTGTTGCCGATGATGGTAGATTAGATATGGTTTTGAGAGCCATTACCTTAAGGCAAGGGCTCTTAACCTTAACTACACACTGGCTGGCATTGCCTGCCAAGTTCGAATGGGTTCCGATGCCTGGCTTCTGTCCCCGGTGGTAAATTTCTCTGTATGATTTCAGCGTGCAGCCGAAGAGGAACCCATGCTCAAGAGCACCACTGTTGCCTCCATCACCTAACTGGTGGATTCTGTGATGGTTCGGATTCAAGTGGCCCTCTAAAAGACATACGTGTTGAAGATGAGGTCCATATCGGGATCCAGTCATTGAGAGTCCCCACTCTCGGTCATGAGGACTCCGCCTTCATCAGTGAACTAATCTATGAACGGATTCAGAGTATGGTGTTATGGAGAGGTGGTGGAAAC